GAGCCACACCTTTTATTCCAGCCACACCTTCAATTGCTGCAGCAAGCAATCAAAGCAAGTCAGCAGCATCCTCTCTATAATTTTTGAAGAACCATTAATGTTTCACTTTTGTTATGTTACATTGGTGATTGTGGCGAGGGCATGAGCTATAGTGCACTCGTTCTGTCATTCTGTCCACACAGTTTAATTGATTTGTAAAAAATTATCTTTTTGTCTGAGCAGTCTAGAGCTATATTTCTTCTTCTAGCAACAGATAAAGTTGCTTTCTTTCATCTAGTTATGCTCTTGTAGCATTCCGTGGCACCAAAAGCTGTGAACTGCCAAACCAGGGGGCCTCTCTCCAAGTGAGAGCTCGTGTTTCACTCTACAGGGCCGAGATTTGCTTCAGAGGTAGAAAATCCCATCTAACAAGAAACAAAAAGAACGATTTTGTCCTAACTTTGTTGTTCGTGAGTTACAGTTGCTCAAAGTTTGTGATTTAGCCTCTTTGAAAAATTTTCAGGCGGCACTAGGGAAAGCAGGAACAACCAAACTCTCTCAGTCTCTTTTAAATATTTAGAAAATTTTTTTTGCCAACTCTTTTATTGAATAGAGCTTCAGATGCTAAAATAAATTTCAGCTTTTCTTCTTTCTCCTACCCATGTGCCATGGTTGCCATGGTATCTCAATATCTGCTGAGTGCTGACCACACCTATAATTTATTTTATGGATCAGTGCAGTAATTGCATTGTTGCAGTTTATGTATATCCTTTTTTCAAAATTAATAGCAACTAGCAAGTTACTTATAGGAAGGATGTGGACTGGCGCCTTACAGTCTGCCAGAACCTTTGTGAGTCCTGATAGAACCCACAATGGCTCAAACAAAAAGGGTAGTAAAAAAGGTGTGTGCAAAGTTGAGTAATGTAGATTATATATACGGTATGTGTACGTGTGCTTATAATGCCAATAATTTTTGGAGGGCCTCACACTCCCGGGGATTTGGCCCTTTTATTTCTGTATTGTACTATTATACTATATAAGTAATACAAAGTGTCTAGAGCTCTGGTAACCGGACACAGTATGCAGAGCTAGAGCTCCGGTAATAGGGGCTTCGCTCCTATATATATATATATATACTGGGGCTACGCCCCAGTATTAATAATACACTGATTTATTATAAAAACTGAGTATAAATACAACAACCAGCGTTGATGATGCAGCAGGGTCATGGTGGTGCAGGGGAGAGGTTGGTGTGGTTTGTACGGACATGGTCAGTGGTTTGAATCTGGTCAGGACTACAGGGTAAAACTATGCTGCAGTTTATGATTTTTTTTTAAATAACTTTTTTTGCTATTTTTTCTTTTTTGGCTTTTTTTAGGTCAAGAAATAAACACCTTCTCGTACATCTTAGCCTCCGGGGTTGTAGGGTTGGGATTGGGGTTTAGTTTTTAGAGCATAGGTCCAGAAATAACACCCTCTCATACATCTTAGCCTCCGGGGTCGTAGGGTTGAGATTGGGGTTTAGTGTTTAGTTTTTAGAGCACCCTCTCGTACATCTTAGCCTCTGGGATAGTAGGGTTTTGGGGTTAGGGTTTAGTGTTTCTTGATAAAAAGACTAAGTTCCATTTTGCACTATTGCGCATGCACACAAGCTGTTTTACGGAGAAAAACGGACTGCCGGAGCTCTAGCATTCGCAAACTATGTCCAGTTACCGGAGCTGTAGCCACAGCCTAAGTAATAATTATTTAATAACTGGAAAATCAGCACATCTGAATGATCAGATATAATAATTATACATGAATTTAAATGTTTTTTACTATTTTTTAGTCTTATAGGCTTGCTGCCATCATTGCAGATGATAATACAAGCTGATGAGCTAGAGTAACTTGCCACATACTTCTGTAGATATATATTCACTAGCAAGTGCAAATGTAGGAGACTATCCTTTTGGAGCATATACTCTCTTTTAAGCAGCTATTGGAGCAATTTGTTATAGCTATGCAGTCAATAATAATTTTTTTTGAAATTGCTTAAAATATCACAGTAAAAGTACCACATATCACTCAAGCAAATTCCAGCGGGCGAGCCCATTGCACCATAGTGCCTCATTAATATTGTTGTTGTTAATGTGGTCACACAAGTAGATTTACTCTTGCTGTGGTTAAAATGTTGTTTTTGTTGTATTTTATTTAATACTGCTGCTTTTTTGTTTGATTAAGTCAGTTTATTCTCTTTTGGTATTTAGTTATGCGTTATGCTTAATGTACCTTAAAGCCACTTATTTTTAAGTAGACAAATTTTTGCAATTTGTTAATGGTATTGATTTAACGTGTACTAATTTTTGCGATTTAGCTCATTTTTTCAATTAATAACTATTAATAAATGTAAATTATTAATAAATGCGATTACTAATTTTTGTGATTTTAAAGCCACTCGCAAAAAACGCAAAAATTAGTACTCGCAAATAATAGTGGCTTTAAGGTAATTATTTTTAAAGATTGTTACAAATTTTTGCACTTGAACTCAACAAGTACAGTAATTATGGGGAACCTGTCACATGCTACCTGGAGACTGTGTGTATATGTCACAAAGGACATGAAAGGATTGATTGTGGTACATGTGTAGGTTGAATTTATCTTGTGACAGCCATACTTCTCTCACCATTACATAGGCATTGTACTTTTTAAAATTCCACTGATGACTGATAGCAATGCTTCTAACCTACAAGTTGACATATATACATATAAATGCTGCCTAATATTATGTGCTCTTGATGCTGGTGGTACTACTTTAAGTCTTATTTGTTGGTTTGCTATTATTATTGCAACAGCAATATAATGTAGGGCACAAATAACAAAAGAGACATGAATAGGAAATGCAATGAAATGGAAAGCTACTGGTGTCAGAAGTTGACTTATACTTTACGTGTGTAACACTGAATTTTAATCACCCGGTGGCTGCGCTGAAATACTAAAATATACATTATATTATAATCACTTTAATGTAACAATACTATCTAAAATTGTAATTGCACTGATAAGTGTCCATAAGTTTTCTACCAAGAAATTTGTCTTCATGGGTGACCTTTTCCAGGAACAGGTGGCATTTGAAGAGGAGATGCCCTATTCAACAACATTAAGCCAAATCAATAAAACTAGCAACTTACTCAGCTTCTATGTCACTTTTGTCAGCTACTAATTTCGATGATGATGAAATGATTGGTGGTTGCACATCACGTCTTCGATCACGTGAATAATAATAATTAAATGCTAATTTATGGGCTTCTCCACCTGGTAGATTTGGAGGGGGAGGTGACCTAAATGAAACAGGAAAGAGCAACAATTACCACACATACTGCATAATACATATGTACATGTACATACATTGATAAGTAATTTTGGGCTGTGATGTGACACAATTTTGTGGTACTGAGAAAATAATAACAAAAATGAAGCCTCAAAGTGTACTTGCAACTGCAATCAAGTGCTCAAACAGATAAATAAAATAACATACAAGATGAAATTCCCTCTTAGTTAGATACATTTTGTAAAACTCTATTTGCTCAACTGAAAATGGTGGTCTACTCTACACCACTATCAAACAAAGAGCTCTGGTAAAAAAAGACTCAAAATACTTCATAGGCATTCAGGTATCAAGTTGTGAGCAATCCACAAAGGAAAAGAAGAGTTAAGACCATGCTTGTCCCTGCTTTTAAACAGTATTTCCACAAAATATTCTAAAAACACTGCAATACTCTTTTGACCACAAAATTTTAATCTTTGCATGGCTTTAGAACATTTTACCAGTGATTATTGATATGCCATAATTTATATTAAAAATGACTTCTTTCCATATTTTGATTGTGTAAATTTTGAGTACTAAAACAAATTCTACATAATAATCAAAAGAGTAAGAACATCCAGTTAGTCTAGGGCTATTGATAACACTAATAATGAATAATATTAGCTTTATGTCACTGATTCAACTCATATTGAACTCCTTAAACTTCCTTATACTTTGTAAGAACATCTCTGCAACATCAAAAATTGAGTCAACTAGAATACAGGCCAGGAAGAAACCACACCCTCTTATTAACCCTCAGCATAGCCTTCAAAGTCTCACATCGCCAGCCCCTCCCTCCATGCCAGCCTTTCCCAGAGTTAAGGGTTTGCTTAATTGTACATGTACTTCTAGTACCCCAGTAACAAGAATTCCAGTTAATCCCAAATATTTTGATTACGGTGTAACTACAATGTCAATACCCATCATACAGACCCAGTCAGACTTACCTAGTGGCACACCTATCAGTTGTCCTCAGCCATGGGCTAGCAGGAATGTGTCTCTATAAAATAGCAAATCAGTAATCTAACAATACGTCAACTGACCCCAACTAGAATATCCCTGATGAAAGACACAATTTTTCCAGGAGTTCCTGGAGGTCTTGCCACCATTGTTTTTTTCTTACTCAGTATATTTTAGTATTCCTTTAGTAAATTAGTCTATAAAGCTTGATAGGTGTGGTGAATATGTGAAAAGTAGGCGGTAACAAGAAGGGAAGACACAAGAGCTTTGGAGCAGACAGTGCGAGAGTGTGAGGACCAAGCGTATGCTTTGTTGTCATCATGGAGGACGGGGTAAATTTCAAGCAATGGCGTAAACTCAGCCCTACTGGTACTCCTCCTCAGGCAAGGTATGTACATGTACCCGTTTCGTTTAATTTTTTTTTCATATTAAACTAACACCTAAAGGCAAGGGCATGCAATTGGAGTTGTCAAAGGCAGGGCTTATTTGTTTGGGGGCACAGCTACTGATGAAGCTAATTCCACTATCTTTTTCAATGATCTTTGGTCTCTGAAGTGTATGTGAGCTATAATGTCATTATAACTTGTTAGTATAATAATATTTACACATCTCATGTAAGCCTGAAAGCTATGCTGATAAAAATTTTCACATTTTCATTATTGCCCTATGTCTGGCCTTTGGCCTTTTCTTGATTATGTGATATATATTGCATCATGTACCATGTATGAACATCGCGAAAACGGTTCCTGATAGGCATTTGTGGATAACAATTGAAATGAGCTAATTTAGTCATTGATGAGTGAATTGTAACAATCCACAAAAATTATTATCGATAAAGTATAAGTCCTACATGGTAACATTGTCATAAATTCCTTTTATTATTGTTTACAGTGCTCAATTTTTTGGCAACTACAGATATAGTGTTACTGGCTCTTTTTTGCAAAATTGAAGATAGCATTTTAACATGAAAGTTGTCCCAAAACTTGTGATTTTGATGTTTAGACTATTATGTGATGACAATCGCTCTGTTTCATGGTAGCATCCATTGATACCCAGTCTTTGATTATTGTGAAATAAAAAATCATTATTAATAATAAATAGGAAGTCATTATTACTTATTTGTAGTGTTTTAAAGACTACATGTAGATTTTCCAATTTTGTTTAATTTTAGTGAATGATTTTGAAGAGATGGAATGGAAGCTAGTAACACAGACTGGTGATGTACCTCTTGGCAGAGAAGGACATTCACTGAAGTATGTAATGTGATTTGTTCATTAATTTTTAAAGAATATACATTTTTACATGTACATGCATACTTAGCAAACTACCTGTATACATGTACCTTAGATATTTCATTTTTCGTATACATTATCAAGAGTATGTGTATTATCAAGAGTACACGCACATGTACAGTATAAATGAATTGTAGTTTTTCTTAAAATAATTGTTAATGTGTATGGCTATAAGTCATTAATCACCTCAAAATTTCTCTAATTCAAACTTGTGTATCAGAAATGTTCTAAATAAAAATTAATACTTTTTATAAATTTTATGCAAATCATGTAGTCTCACATCTTTGGCCAAAATTTACCAAAATTTAAATGTTTTTGAAATGCTCATGATTACATTTACATGTATTGTTCCAAAGTTTAGACAAAAGAGTAATTTATTATCTTTGTACCAGAATTATATAAATAATTTTAAAATGTTTATGGATTAGTTTTAGTTTTGGTTCACACTAGTATCAATTTTGATTACTTATAATTAATTTTAATTTTGGATCATTACCTAGTGTTGTTGGTGACGAGCTATTTTTGTTGGGTGGAGTTGAATCTGATAATGCTGCTACCTGTGCCGAAGGTCTGTATGTTTTCAATACAGGTGTGTTCATACAATGTATAATGCTAATGGTTATATTGTCAATGAACAATGTCTCCATACAGACACTCACAATTGGGTAAGAAGAGAAATGACTGGAGATATACCTAAAGCACAGAGCTCAAAATATGTTGTGACTAGTGATGGAAAAAGAATAGTAACTTTTGGTGGTGTTCTGAATGGGCATGCATGCAATGACACTTTTGTGATGGATATAGGTATGAAGTAATGTATATTGATCGATACAAATAGATGAATTTTAGCTTTTTAAAATTGTTTTGCACATTGCATGGTATTCATGGCCACTACAGTATATCATTGTTGTGTGATTTTAAATTAAATCGTTGTGGATTTTATGATGCATAGTCACTGATATGGTAATGAATCCAAATAATTGGGTATTGAAATATAAATAAATGCCATAATATCTAACCAAACACCCACCATTTCACTACACATACATGTACATGTAGTTCATGAATAAATACATGTACATGTAATTTCTGTTTATACATGTAAATAGAAACATTGGAGTGGAAGTGCATTGCAACAAGTGACATGAAGCCGTCATCTCGCTGTGATTATGGATGTGTTGTTATGGACAATAAGATGTATGTTTTTGGAGGAAGTGGTGGGGAATCACTCTGGTTTAATGACTTGAGCTATTTGGATCTTGGTAAGAATTGTTTCTATTTGTTGTACTTATCATCTTTATACAATTTAGATACATATAACTGGACATTAGTTGAGTCAATATCACTGTCCCCACACCCAAGGGACTATCCTGCACTTGTTGCCATAAGTAATCAGGTACAGTTATCATTATGAAATGATTTTGTTTCAACTCTCAGTGTATTTATGTAACGTATAGCATGTACTGTAGCTTAATTAATACAAACATCAAATGAATGTGGGAATAGTGTTTTTTGATAGTTTATCGACCTTTGCACAAAATATGTACAATACTATAGCAATTTAATGCTTAATTTCTTGTGGCCTAAAGACTCTGCACTGTGGTTTTGCAGCAACCACTAAAAGTGCTCTTCATTTATATAGCATCCATTACATTATAATCCAGTTGTAAATGAAATTGGCTTCAAATAACCGCAAAGTTTTAACTTTATAAGTGCATGATACATGTACCTGTAGGTGTTACTTGATTACTTCAACCGTTGATATGGAGATGCTTGAGATCATTACCACTAGAGTATTTTAATTTAATTACAGAAAGGGCACAGATGAAATGTGCACCATCTATCAAGCACATTAGTAATTCTAATAATCATTAGTGTGTATCTTATTTACATGCAGATAGAGAAACTCCTGATTGTTTTTGGTGGATTTTCCTGCTTGAATGAAGAAGATATTTGCTTAAATGACACACATTTTTTACGTAAGACATCAAAAATTATTCAATATCCCTATGAAAATGTTTTACAATGAAAGGATGTCAGTTATCAAATTTAAGTTGGAACCAGTTTGTGTCATCTGATGGGATTGAGCCTAATGGAAGATATGGACATACAGCATTTGTTCATGAAAATAGAGTACATAATGTAGAAGCATGTATTTATTATTGGATGTGTTATTAATAGCTATATGTACAAGGTGGACAGAGCAGTGAGGTATTGTTCAATGATTTGTGGATGGTAGATATCATTCTTCCTGAAGTGAAGTGAGGGTGTCTTTTGAAATTAATTTTTTTACTAATTATTTTATAGCTTCTCTCCTACTGTTGCTCCTAAACGAGACTATGATACAGCTTTACCAATACCAGCTCCTAGAAAAAAACTACCTCCTCCAACTCCTACAGTACCTTTCCTTTACTTCGGTTGCATTATTTGTAATTCCCTTTCTCTTTGCAGGAAATAAATGAGAGAAGCTTTGAAGATCTTCGCTCTCAATATCTTACACAAATTAATGAAATGTTTGACACGCTAAGCGAGAAATTTAGAGAACTTGATGAGTAAGAAATTACTGTAAAGTTTAACCTGTTATACAAATTTACATTGTACATGTACAATGTACTTGTATTATCATAATTATGATATTAAAATAATGCATATGTATTCAATACATGCATTTTGTTTTCACTCTTCGTGCATTAACAGTACATGTTAGTTTACAGTTTACAATAGATAGACTGGTAAAAGTTAAATAAACAACCTTATATTATTGTTGTTTGTTTGTGTGTTATGTATAGAATGTCAGCTAAGTTAGATGCTGAAAGGAAGCAACTTGATGAGGAAAGGGAAGAACTGCATTCTACCTATGACAGACAACAAGAGGTTTTAATAATGACTGTACATGTGATGCCTACTATACAAAACTATAGGAATTGAAACAACTTCATGATCGTCATCAACGAAGCAACGAAGAATGGATTCAATCATTGAAGCAGGAGAATGATGCAGAAAGAAAAGCAATTGCTGAAGAGAAAGTAATATTAAACTTATACATTATGCCCATGTACATGTAACTATATTATTAATATGCATATAGGCTAGATTAGAACAAGAGAAAAAGGAGCTTGAAAGTGAAAAGGAAAAGTTTAATGAGAAGAGTAACAAATTAGATGCAATTATGAAACAAGTCCAGGGACTGAAGTGAACAGTACATTTTTATAGTAATTATAGTTTTTATTTCCCAAGTGTGAAAATTTTGCTCACGTTTTATGTAGAGACAACATCATAATGATATGTAATTCACTGAGGTCTAGCGGTCATAAAGAGTCCCCTCTTCAATCCAACCTATTTTCCATACAAGCATTCAACTCTGATGGTAACACTATTCTCCATTATGAGATCCTCAATTGTCTGTCTGTGGCATTAACTCTTAATTCCACTGTCTAATGCCATTTATAGTCTCCTTTTTATTACTATTTTCCTGTCATGCTGTGTCGAATCATTTAGATGTACATGTACAAGTGTTATGCACAATGTACATGTAGTTCAGCAATATCATTAAGGAAAGGAGAGAGAAAAGATAAGGAAGGAGAGAGGAAAGTACATGTACATACAGATAAAGCTTGGATTGTCTAAATAGTAATACTACTGTACATAAAAGCACAGGCTAGACATTAACTTCATTGTAAGAATGTTTTGTATTGATACAGTAATATGTTTGACTAATAACAAGGTCAAACACATCATTATCGGTACACATTAATTATAATGTCATACACACAAAAATGACATCACAACTGTAGTGACTGGATATACTCTTTTAAATCACTTATTTGAGACACAAAGAATATTTGAACATGATTTAACTAAATATCCCAGTTTTATGTGTCAGATGAACAAGTAACAAAAATAGACTATAATAATTAACACTCTGTCCCATTATGAGTCATAATAATAATACGGTAATAATAATAATAATAATTACATTCTAATGACTGGATTACTTCTGCTTCTAGTAACCTTTGGGTAGGCAAAACATACTTCTAGACACATGGAGAGAACCTATCAAACATACAATAGTTTAATGAATGACCAGGGAAATACATGTGCATATACATGGCATGCATTAATTTTATTAAAATACACGCAGTACATCACATGGTAGATGTAGTATTCATTTCAATTGTAATTGGCTGACCTCT